TAGAACTTAAACAACTAGGATCCTACTTTCTTAATAGTACATATTACAGAAATTTTAAAGGAAAATTAACATACTCTTTGCCTTTATTTCTGTTTTTAATGATTTTTAATTTTTTTTCTTAAGCAAGCTTTAAAGGCTTGCTGCGGTCTGCATGTTGTCTAACCCCACAATTTCAGAAAAGGGACAAATTAAACTTCATTAATACATTTTGGATCAGCTTGATGAAGCCTTCCATAGGAAAAGCAATAAAGCAGGATGATATCAGAGAGAATTATAAATGTTCTGGGATTGTTATACATGCTCTTCTGTGTCTTAGGTTCTCAACGAGAGAGATCAATAATTTTGGATCCATTTAGATATAAATGTATCTAACATTTGGAAGAGAAACACAAAGTTGCCCTTTGTTTAGTTCTTTGATTTTAGCTCTTTCTACTGGACATATGCTGTAGGATTATTTACAAAATAATTTGCATTTCACACTTAGATTGAATTAGAAATTATTTGCTGGGAAGAAAGTTCTTGGGGTAGGTAGTTCTCGATCTACAAAAGTTACAAAAATTACAAAAGTTCATTTAGTGACCAAAGGCACTGAAAAATGACTGTTACAACCATTTTCACACTTACGACCATTGCAGCATCCCCATGGTCACATGATCAAAATTTAGATGGTTCATATTTATGATGGTTGCAGTGTCCCGGGATGACATGATCACCTTTTGTGACTTTCTCACAAGCAAAGTCAATGGGGGAGCCTGATTCATTTAACAACCATGTGACTAACTTAACAATAGCAATGTCTCACTTAACAACTGTGGCAAGAAGGGGAGTAAAATGGGGCAAAACTCACTTAACAAATGTCTCACTTAGTAACAGAAATATTGAGCTCAGTTGTGGTCTTAACTCAAAGACTACTTGTATTTGTATCTACATATTCAAAGGAGTTATAAAAAAGAATCCTGACCACTTTCCACAAACTACAATTCTTAAATTTGGGGAGGGGGGTAGAAATATGGTAGCAAATTGATAAGAAATTATAGTTATTTGGTTTGCATACTAAATTATGGTTTATAGAGTAAATCACAGTTGGCTGATCTGGCATAACTCACCAAACTACTATATATACCATAATTTGCAAACTATTGCATGCTGTGACATTGATTAGTCTAATCTATGGTACCTGCCAGTATGTGTTTAATGTAAAGTATGTCCAAGAAAGTAATTAATTTTAGGACTCTGCTATCTGGAGATTTATTTATTTATTTATGAGACTTATATACCACTTTAAGTGCAAGCACTCTCTAAGCAATGTACACCAGTAAGCAATGTATATATATATTTACATTGCCCCCAAAATCTGGGTCCTCATTTTACCTACCTCGGAAGGATGAAAGGCTGAGTCAACCTTGAGCCGGTGAGATTTGAACCGCTGACCTGCTGAACACAGTCAGCTAAAGTGGCCTTGTTTCTGCTGGACCTAAGGAAGTGGCAGGGTATTCTAGAGGGCAAATGCCACCACCTATGAGTTAGAGCTATGTCCCTCCTGGCTGATCAAGGCCACCTAGGAGGTATCATGTGGATAGGTCCAAGTAATAGTGAATTCCTCCTTGATGGAGGGGGTGTTTCTGGATCCTTTTAAAGAGACATCTGGTGCACCCTCTCCTTAAAAATCCATTGCTAGATCCCAGTGTTCTAGACAATGTTTATTCAGTCTTTCACCTTTCCTTTTTAGGTGTTGGTGTTGCCTCTCTGGAGGATCTTTGATTGCACTTTTAAATGATCTCCGATGGTAATGGGATGGAGGTAGTGCATCCATCCTTGCTCTTCTTGACCTTTCAGTGGCTTTCAATACTATTGACCATGGTATCCTTTGGGGCCAGCTTAGGGAGTTGGGGGTGGAGTTACAGTTTTATACAGCTTCACTTCTTTCCTCTGAGAGCAGTCCCAATCGGTGCTGATACCAAAAGGTCCAGCCCTTGGCCCCTAGTTTATGGGGTGCCACAGAACTCAATGCTCTCTTTTTAACATCTATATGAAACCTCTGGGTTTGATCATCCATCATCACGGGAAGAGGTATGCTGATGATTATATATCTTTGTCTGGGAGAATTAAGTGATACTGTGGGTGGGCATTGCTTTGCGATGCCTGGAGACTGTGGAGGTCTGGATAGGGAACAACAGAATTCAGCTGAACCTTGGTAATTTGGATGGCAGGGGGGTGGGCGGGCTCCTCCTTGGTCTTGGATGGAGTTGCACTATCCCAGACAAACTTGGTGTATAATTTGGGGGTCCTCCTGGACTCACAGCTCCTGCTTGAAGAGCAGGTTGCAGTCCTGACTAGGAGGGCCTTTGCTCAACTGCATTGTGTTACTTCCCTTCTCTCAGTGGCTTGGACCCTGGTAATCTCCCATCTGGATTATCACAATATGCGTACATGGGGCTACCCTTGAAAAGTATCCAGAAACTTCAGCTGGTACGGAATGCAGCCATGTTAGAAATTTTGGGAGTCCCATGGATGCTACATGTAACACCTCTACTGCACAAGCTGCATTGGATGCCGGTTTGCTTCCAGGTGCAATTCAAGGTGTTGGTGATGACCTTTAAAATGTTGCATGGCATGGGTCAAGTGTGGAATTATGTTCTCCTCACTACATCGACCTTTCCCACTTTGGTCAGGCAGGGAATGTATGTCAAAGAACCATCTTTAAAGAAGTCGGTTAAAGAGATCCTTCTCTGCTGTCACCCCTGCCTTTTTAGAATATTCCCTACACACAGAGAGAGAAGTGAGGCAGGGCCCCACCCTCCTGGCCTTTTGGAAGAGTTTGAAGACCTAGCTCTGCCATCTTGCGTGGGGCTTGCAGAGGAGCACACACCCTTGTGGTTGCCTAATACCTTGAAGGCTCGTCCACTGCCTTTATAACTTTAATTATTTCATTTCGATTCTAACCGCCTCCTATTAAAATATATTTATATGGTTTTTATGTTTTGAATTGTACATCATCCAGTCACTCTGTGAGTGAGATGGGTGGTCTATAAAAATAAATAAAAATAGAACACCTGGTGGTGTTTTTATCTTACCACCTAAGTGACTGGAGATATTTGCTGAATGTGACTCACTTTGCCATGGAATCCAGATGAATGGGAAGTTTCTCATTCTTTTTAAAAGGTGTCCTTCAAGTTGCATTATCATCTGTTTGCTGATGTTTTTCACTTCCTGAAGGTGTGTAGTGATCCCTAAACCTCCAAATGAATGAGGCAAGCTGGCATGAGTCACCGGGGCCTCCAGAGATGTGATACGTTTCTGCTCTACGCATCCTGGCTGAATCTGCGTCATCAGTGCCACCTGATTGCACTGCAGAGCTGAGCAATGACGGCAGCAGAATTCATTCAGTGCTTCTGCTCTTTGCTGCATTCTGAATACTGTGTTTGGGATAAGTGAGCTGCTAGAAAAGCTTTTGTGCTTCTCATGTTCTAATCATCCTAGCTGTCTTTGCTCAAGTCAAAGCACTGGGCATGGTAGAGAACTGTGATTCAGGCAGTGAGGAAATTGCTTTGTGCTTTGCTCTTTTGGCTCTGCAAAAATTGCTTGCCCATTGCAGCTGCCTTGAGTTGGCTTCTTCGGTACTTCAGCAGACCTCCCGCACTGGGAAATGCTCCAGAGGTCAGCCATTCTCTGCTGGGCTATTAGCCAAAAGGTTAAGGAACCGTGCCAATATCTAGTTGTATTCTCCTCTCATTTAATATGGGGCCTTCCTTTTGCTTCCGCTTTCCTCCAAGCCTCCGAACACCAGCTGGCTTGGCGTTCTCAGAATCAGAAAATATTTTCAGCCAGAAAGACTCATTCTTTTATACTACGGTAAAAGTTCTAAGTTTTTGCATTCATCAGATCCATTTCAGCCAGATCTATTTATACACATTCACAGACACTAATACTCCTGCATGCATTTTTTATACATGGCAAAGGAATGCATTGGGCCTTTCTATTCAGCAAATCAGATTTTTTTTTATATAAAAACCTGCTTTTATGAAACTAATCATACATTAGTATTATTAATTTTTTTTTCTAACAATTAGAATTGTAAATTTTCTCTTTGGTTCCAAATGGAAAGTTTTTTTCACATTGCTTTTCAGGGAAAAACAGTGTCAGAGAATACAAATATAGCTTTCTTTATTGTCAATATATGGTGCTGGTGCAGTCCTTTGGACTGCAAGGCGTTCAAACCAGTCAGTCCTAGAAGAGATCAACCCCGACTGCTCTTTAGAAGGCCAGATCCTGAAGTTGAAACTCAAGTACTTTGGCCACCTGATGAGAAGGATGGACTCACTGGAGAAGGGCCTAATGCTGGGAAAGATTGAGGGCAATAGAAGAAGGGGACGACAGAAAATGAGGTGGCTGGATGGAGTCACTGAAGCAGTAGGCGTGAGCTTAAATGGATTCCAGAAGATGGTAGAGGACAGGAAGGCCTGGAGGAACGTTGTCTATGGGGTCGCGATGGGTCGGACACGACTTCACAATTAACAACAACATTGTCAATACAGCTAGTTCTCGATTTACGATCACAATTGAGCCCAAAATTGTTGTTGCTAAGTGAGACATTTGTTAAGGGAGTTTTGCCCCATTTTACGACCTTTCTTGCCACAGCTATTAAGTGAATCACTGCAGTTGTTAAGTTAGTAACACGATTGTTAAGTGAATCTGGCTTCCCCATTGCTGATCAGAAGGTAGCAAAAGGTGATCACATGATCCTGGGACCCTGCAACCATCATAAATGAGAGTCAGTTAACAAGCGTCTGGATCTTGACCATGGGGATGCTGCAACAGTCATAAGGATGAAAAATAGTCATAAGTCACTTTTTTCAGTGCCGTTGTAACTTTGAATGATCACTAAATAAACTCTTGTAAGTCGAGGATGACCTGTAGTAATTTTATTTTAAAAACTAACGCAAACTAAAAGACAAGAATAAAAAGACAAAATAGAAGGTGCAGAAAAGAAACCTAATAACACAGTAAAGAAAAAGAAAAGAAAAATATATTAAGAAATGACTCCCCCTTCATCATGTATAAACAATCTTAGTAACTTAAGATGACTTGATAAACTTACGATAACTTAATAACTTATCATCTTCTCTTATAATACAATAAATGATGTCTTCTTCCCATACCCCATCTTTTATCCATAAACAATTCCTTAAAACCTGTCAGCCTTCTCAGATAGACTATACAGGAAATACGAGTTAATTCTATTTTATTGTAAGGTTACATTAACAGAATCTTGCAAGTCTGAAACTACAAATCTCCCACTGTCTCCTTCTCTTGCTCCACCCACTATCCAGCTGTGGGCTCTCCCCCTTTCACCCTGTTTGTGATCTTATTTGACCATTCCCTAGACAGCATCTCTTTGCCCTGTCTCCCAAGCTCTTTCCCACATACCATAACAAAACCTTCTTGTTTCAGTCCTGATCAGCAAAAGTCCATTAAGGGTCACAGAGATAACAACATTTCTATTTTAACCTTGATCAAATAAACCAACTTCATATTCTTTTCTTTTACTTTTAACAATTTTGATCTTTAGTACCTTCAAATAATAGAACTTGATTTTTCATTTTTTTTCTTTGTCCCTTCCCACGAAATTCTTCCAAGTTTTAACAATCTACTTCTGTATATAGGATAATTTTATAGGAAAATTATCCAGGTCACTCTCTTAGTTTGTTATTTGTAGTAAATGGCCTTTCCACCCCAAACTGCAATCTCCAGTGATTCCCTCCCCTCCTCCTCCTTTTTTTTTTTTAAGAAATGAAAGGTTCTTACCATTTGTGTTCAACTGGAAGTTGATTCATTACTAATTTTGTTTGGAGGAGGTTTCTATTCATTATTTTATTTATCCTAAAGTGTAGACAACATACGACAACAGGTTTGTTTTACTTCATTTATCAAAAAGCTGGCAAACTGGGAAATGTTTGAAGTCCTGAAAAACAGTTAATTGTGATCCATATCATGTTTCCCCTGCCATTCTGATCATTAGTAGTCCTTCTTTCAAAGGACTGATCTTCAGAATGCTTGTGCTAGGTTTATGTTAGGAAGCTGAAGTAAATACGGAGCAGTCAAACACAGTTGAGAAACCAAAGTTTTATTTGCAAAATATACTCTTGTTTTGTATGAAAGAAAGTAAAGTGGCTTTGATAATTATACTATAATAAATAAGACATAATCTCTCCCCAAATTTAACAAACATAGGATGAGCTGGGGAATAAGCTGTGTAAAGCTTTAGACAGCTTTCCTCTACATTTCCCTGGGAAACCCTATTAATGATCGATTTTGATCTTTCTTCTTCACTTCTGCCCAGATGTCTGACAAATCTTGGATAAACTGCTGGATCTGAGAGCAAGGAAGAGGAAGGTCAGATTTGTACAATAAGAGGTGACTTCCTAAGAGCACAAGATTGAATTTACAGCTGCTTTAGAACTTCTGGTATGGCAGATATCACTTAGGGAGGAGAGGCAAGAAGCATTTGTCTCCAAATGCAAATAGTCATCATTTAATGGTCACAATTGTGAGTGGCAATTTGGTTATTAAACCAAGTAGTCACTAAGTGAAACTGTGATTGTGACTGTGCTTACAGCCTTACTTCAGTTTTCGTTTTACAGATCTGTGAAGTTCACAAATGCAAGGATTGGTCATAAAGTTACTTTTTCATTACCAACCCTTTCCAGCTGACCACCGGACTTCTGTGGCCATTTCTCTTTGACTGCCGGAACTCTGCTTGAATCAATTAAGCTTTGGGGCTGCACTAGTCAGGCCCTGAAGCTTTTACAGAGATGATATCAGGAACTGATGCTTTGTTGTCTTTCTGACACCTTATGTGCAGTTCTGCTTTCTGAGGGTTTGGGATAGGTAGCTGAGATACCCAGACTGGAGCAAAAACTGACAAAATCCTGTACAGACCAGGTTATGTGCTAAGTCTACTCCTAAGACCAAAGGGATTCCAGGTCCAAAGAGAGCTTTTCTGGACCACAGGCAAAACATGCTTTCGCCCCCCCCCCCAAATTTGGATAGTGTGGTAGAAGAAGAAAGAGAGGTCATCATCCATGCATACCATATCCAGCTGTCTGTGAGTATCTTCCAGAGGCACCATTAAAGCCTCCTTCATCTGCTTGTTTACACTCTGGTAAAGATTCAGTGTCGCCATCTTGATAGTGCCCAGCATCAGGGTTTTCTTTGCAGCAGTGTTCTGGATATGAGCCCAGCGGGACTCCTATGGAGGAGACAGAGGCAGCAAAGAAAACGTTGAGCCGAATTTTGATCAACTAATTTCTACTTGTATTATAAAATGGTCCCCAAATACCATCTGAGGGACATGGCACAGCAAGCAAAGCAACCAGCCTAGAGAGATTCTCTAAGCCTACTTTTCAAAGGAAAGCATCTTCATAAATGGCATTCGGTGGCTCCTCTGGTAAACAGAACAGTCTAAGCCATTTGTGGTTTGCCCGCTCTCTGAGCATGGCGCTCTGCCTTCTATCCCTCTTAATAAACCAGTGTTGACAGCAATAGATTGTTCCTGCTTTCCGAGCCTATGGTTTGCTCACAGGTTTCCCTGAGAAAGAAAGAAGTACAGGTAGCCCTCCACTTACGACCACAATTGAGCCCAAAATTTATGTTGCTATGTGAGACATTTGGTAAGTGAGTTTTGCCCCATTTTATGACCTTTCTTGTCACAGCTGTTAAGAGTATCACTGCAGCTGTTAAGCCAGTGGTTCTCAACCTGTGGGTCAGGACCCCATTTGGGGTCAAACGACCATTTCATGGGGGTCGCCAAACCACGCTGTCCGCCATTTTTTTCCCCTTTTCCCTAGCTGTCCTACTCTCTCTTATTGGTGGCCACACTCACTTGGGGGTCACCACAACATGGGGAACTGTATTATGGGGTCACGGCATTAGAAAGGTTGAGAACCACTGTGTTAAGCTATAGCAAGTTTGTTAAGTGAATCTAGCTTCCCCCTTGACTTTGCTTGTCAGAAGGTCATAAAAGGTGATCACATGATCCCAGGACACTGCAAAGATCATAAATAAGAGTCGGTTGCCAAGGGCCTTGAATTTTGATCACATGACGATGGGCGATGCTGCAACAGTCGTAAGTGTGAAAAATGGTCATAAGTCATTATTCAGTGATAATGTAACTTTGAACTGTCACTAAATGAACTATTGTAAGTGGAGGACCACCTGTATCCTCACCCCACCTGCTTACCCAGGCAATGACGTCACTACGGGCATGGTCAAAGCGCAGCTGCAAGCGGGCCAGCTCATTGTTGTGTTGCAGAATCTCATCGTCTTTTTCCTCTTTGTAGCGGGCCAGGCGCACCTTGGCTTGTTCAATCAACTCCAGCCCCTCCTGGGCCGACTGCAGCAGATCCCGGTGCATCCCAACTAGAGTTTTATAGCGTCCAATGACTTCCCGGATTTCTTCAAACTGCAGACGATGCCTTAGGTTACAACTATCCTGGGATGGCAATCCTTTTTTAACTGACAATCAAGGAAGGATAACAACTAAATGATAATAACTTAGACGCCCTGGTGTCAGGTAGGGAATCTTTACTAAGGCATAAAGTTGATTAGGTTCAGAGAAGTGTACAGCCAGAGATGAGCTTGTTTATCACTCCTTCATACTGGATGCAGTTGAATTAAGCTGTACTTTGCACATATGCAATACACACAGGGGAAAAAAAAAATCTTCAGGATAAAAATTTACCAGCAGTGCTCATGTAATCTTACAGATCCTGAGATGGGATACTTTTCCATGACCTATTCTGTAATTCAGACTTTGCTGCTTAATAATATATCATTGGCAAAGCAATGTTAAATGAACTATGAGTTTCTGGTGATGTGCTGTGGGGAGAATCAATTGCTACTAGACGTTCTGTACTGACCTACACTTGGTTGACCCCAGGGCTTTTTTTCTCATAGAATGCCCAGAACGGAATTCCAGCACCTTTTTTGGATGAAACCTTGTAGGGTAGGCAAGGTGGGTTGTATGATGTGTGTGAGTTCCGGCACCTTTTTTTTTTTTTTTTTTTTTTTTACAAAAAAAGCACTGGTTGACCCAAGCATTAAAGATCGCTGATCTAAGACAATTTTTCCCAATCTAATGATTTTTACATTTGTTGGAGATCGAATCTTTGCCATATGGGGTTGTAATTATGGAGGTTAAGTACACTGGGAGAATATCAGGTTGGAGAAACTACTCCTAAGACTTTCCTTAGCAACTCTTATCATTCTTATGCGTACCTCAGAGACTTGCACCACACTCTCCAAGTACTTGTTGAAGATTGAGTATTGCTGTAGCTTGTTGTAGAGCTTTTGGTGCTGCTGTTTCAGAGCAGCGATCTCTAACTTGACCTTGGCGAGCTCCTTCACCCGCTGCTTCTTCAGCTCTCGTTCCTTGTTGGCTTTTTTCAGAGCTCTGATCCGTTTCTGGTCATTCTCCTAATAATCCCCATATTGAATACAGCTCCCACACCCAGATGACCCAGACAAAGACAAATAACAAAGGCAAGAAGCAAAAGGGGGAGGGGGAGGGAAAAGGTAATTGGAAATGTTATGGTCTCCATGGAATATATGCGAATGACAGTGTTATATAAAAAAATTGCCTTAAATCAGGTCAGGATAATGGCTTAATAATGAATCTCCAGGACCTCAAGAAAAAAAAATGCCCTAACTTTTTTTTACTTTATCCTTTTATTGGAGAGCAGTGGTTAGATGCAGTGGTTAGAATGAAGTATTGCAGGCTAAAGCAGTGATTAGAATGAAGTATTGCAGGCTAACTCTGCCCATAGTCTGAAGTTCAATCCTAACCAGCTCAAGGTTGACTCAGCCTTCCATCCTTCCGAGGTCAATAAAATGAAGATCCAGATTGTTGGGGGCAATATGCTGTAAACCGCTTAAAGAGGGCTGCAAAGCACAACAAACAGCATATAAGTCCAAGTGCTATTGCTATTGCTGTTGGAGATGAAATTAAACCTGCAGCCTTTTGTATACAAAGCCATTTTTTTTCTGACTAAATATGGCACCACAGTGGTCCACTAGTTTGGGGATCCCATGGAAGCCTGGAACCCATTAAATAGCTAGTATAAGTTTAGATTGCATTGCTCCTGTCTTTTTGTTCTTATCATTTTTAAATTGTTTTAAATTATTTTTAATGGATAAATTATGCTGATTATTTAGTTTTAATTGCATATGGCACCCAGAGTGAGATGGATAGCTGTATAAATTATAAGTCTATAAATCAGTCAAATCCTTGGCTGGCCCTAGTGTGGCTCAAAACTTAAAACAGGTCCCTTCTAAATTAAGGTGGCCCCTTCTTTGTTGATTTTTCTAAAATTACTAAAACCCAGAGATTTCAGAGCATTTCTCTGATTTGGAGTTTCTCTTTATTTTTTATTTTTCTCATATAATATTATTGTGGTTCTATTTATCTTGCTCATTGTTATTGCTTTTTATTTATGACTAAAGAATGAAGAACTGAGCTGCCTAGGCCAGGGATAGGCAACCTTGGCTCTTTTATGACTTGTGGACTTCAACTCCCAGAATTCCTGAGCCAGCATGGCTCAGCTTGGAAACCTCTCCCTTTCCCCTCAGCATGGCTGGCTCAGGAATTCTGGGAGTAGAAGTCCACGAGACATAAAAGAGCCAAAGTTGTCTACCCCTGGACTAGGCTATTACCCAGGTCCATAAAACTTGCCATCATCATCATCATAAAAAAGAGATGTGGCATCGTTCAATGACTGAATCTATTTTGCTGAGTTGGGTCGTGATCGTAGTACCAAAGAGGACCTGCAAAAGCTCCACTCTGCCTGGTCCATTGGCAACAGAGAGAAAACTTTCAGGAGCAACATCTCACTAGAGATGCATAACCCGGCCATGTTTAAAATGTTTTTAACAGCCATGGGGTAAGGCTGGATGGTGAGCCTCATATAAGATTCTGTATTCTGATTTGGATTTTTTTTTCTTCCTGTTTTTGATATGCACTGTCATTTTATCTGTGTACTGGTCGTCCTCGACTTACAACAGTTCGTTTAGTGACCATTCAAAGTTATAATGGCTCTGAAAAAAGTGACTTCTGACCAGTGGTGGGATTCAAATACGTGAACAACTGGTTCTCTGTGTGGATGCCGCTTCCGAAAGTCCATTCTGGGCCTGGGCAACAAAAAATTAGCTACTGCTTCTGCCGAACTAGTGTGAACCGGCTGAATCCCACCACTGCTTATGACCATTTTTCATACTTATGACCGTTGCAGCATCTCCACGGTCACGTGATCAAAATTCAAACGCTTAACAACTGACTCACATTTATGATGGCTGCCGGGTCTCCGGAATTGCGCGATCCCCTTTTGCGAACTTCTGACCAGCAAAGTCAATGGGGACAGCCAGATTCACTTAACATCCGTGTCAGTAACTTAACAGCTGCAGTGATTCACTTAATAATTGTGGCAAGAAAGAGGGTAAAATGGGGCAAAATTCCCTTAACAATGTCTCACTTCACAACAGAAATTGTGATTGTAAGTCAAGGCCTACCTGTATATAGTTTCTAGCTGTTCAGAATGGGATGATGGCCTTATACAGGTGATAAACGAATGGATGAATAAACAAACTACTAGATTATTATTGTGGGAACATATTTATGCCATTGTTAAAAGAGGAAATAATTTTAATTGAACAGGTATGGATTTTATTACATATGTCTTGCCTGTTTTGTTTCCTTTTCCAAGTTGACCCTACTATGCAATCTTTATTACTATGCCTGAGGGGGTGGGGAAACAATTAGTATATAATGTAAATGACTTCAAGAGAACCACAAGTGAATACTGCAGTCATTAAACAAATTATACGTCATTAAATGAATTACATGGTTGTTAAGCAAATCTGGCTGTTTCTACTGACTTTGCCTGCTGCAAACTGGCAGGGAAGGTCACGGATCTCAGTCATATGACCACAGGATGCTGCAACTCTCCTAAATGCAAACTGGTTGTCAAGTACTCAAATTGCAATCACATGACTGCAGGGGTGGTGTGCCACTTAAAACTTTAGGTCATAAGTCACTTCAGTGCCATCATAACTTTGGATTGTTGTTAAACAAATGGACATAAGTCAGAGACTACCTGTAGGATGGAGGAGCCATTACTGTTCAAAGAAGGTGTTGGAAAGCTATAAAGAATCTGTACCTGAATGAATTGCTCAAATTTCTTAATATATGCTTTCAGTTGGACTTCTTTTGTACCAAGCTCTTCCCACCTGTTGTTTAGGGATTCCATTCTTGTTTTAAATGCCTAAAAAATACACAGAGAGAAGCTGCTAATAAGTCACTTAATTATGACAGACCTTTTCTTCTGTGGGTAGTATGAACACAGTTAACTTCCATCAGGATCCAAACTGGATCCTAGATGGGATCTAACTTTATTATGGTGACAATGGACAAATGAAAATGATATAACAGAATATATAACAGAATTGGAAGGGACCTTGGAGGTTTAGTCCAATCCCCTGCCCAAGGGAGGATGGAAGGTGTCTGGCCCGGAAGTATTCATTCTGCGTATTTCAAGGGGTAAAGTAATAGGATAGATGTGTTGTTCTCTAGTGCAGGGCTTTTCAACCAGTGGTACAGGTACCACCTGTGGTACATTGGCACCTGGCAGGTGGTATGCAACCAGCCTAGAAAAGTGGTAATGGGGGAGGGGAATGAGAACGCCGCCAGGCGGGCAGGCAGGTGTCTTGCTCGGCTGTGCCTTGAGGGGCACTTTTTTCAGTGCCATTGTAATTTCGAACAGTCACTAAGCGAACTGTTGTAAGTTGAGGACTACCTGTACTTTATCACTTTTTTTTTTTTTGGTCATCAAGTTTTTGACACCTTGCTAGGCGACTGGTGGTACTCGGATATTGCCATATCCTAAAAGTGGTACAATGGGTGAAAAGGTTGAAAAGCCCTGCTCTAGTCTTCCTTCCTTCCTTCCTTCCTTCCTTCCTTCCTTCCTTCCTTCCTTCCTTCCTTCCTTCCTCCCTCCCTCCCTCCCTCCCTCCCTCCCTCTCTCTCTCTCTCTCTCTCTTTCTTTCTTTCTTTCTTTCTTTCTTTCTTTCTTTCTTTCTTTCTTTCTTTCTTGTTTTTATCTTTTTAATTTAAAAAAATTGAATACATTAATCTTAAGAGAGAGAGAGAGAGAGAACTCACCTCCTTTTGAGCTTCCATGGCCTGATGCACCAATTTGGCTTCTTTCTTTTTCTCCAGCAGTCGAATGGAAGGAGATGGAGACTGCTCCTCTGACACTGGGAATTTCCTAATCAAAGAGAACAAATATTTCCAATGAATAGCAAAGGCCTAATATGTCATAGGACCTATAACGGCTGTTCAAATACCTTCACATGGCAAGGGCAGAGTTCTAACAGAATAACATGGACTGCATTTGTCCCCAAATTAACTTTCATTCAGAAAAGAGTCTACAGCTGTGATCTAAGTAGAGATAACATGCCCAGTTAATCAACAGATTTTGGGAGAAAGATCTGAAGAGTTAAGGATACTCATGGACTAAAATATGGAATATAAAAGCAATAAAGGATGTATTGTAGAAGACAGAGAAACCTATGAGGAAAGGCAAGTCAATAGGTAGCTTAGTCCATAGGAACAAATACAGTCTTTAAATTACACTTTGATAGTGATTAATGTCCAGCATCTAAGATATAGTGTAATGGTTGCTGATTAGTCAACATGATCCAATTCATCTGTGGATAAAAAACAGCTGAATTTCAAAGAGAGAATATTTTTTAAAATCTTAAAAAATAAGATTTTTTTTGCCCTTAACTAAACAAACTCCCAAGATAGACTTGAAAGAGTGTGAAAAAGTCCATGAGAGCATGATCCTGGCTAGACAACAAGATTTAGGAAACTATAAAAAAACAAAACTTCTTTTCCTAAAAAAGTAGAATCTTGTCTAAAAGTTAAAATTATAGATCTACCCACTTTATCAGTAACAAGGTAAATTAAAGCTAGAATATTTAACACCGTGTCTGAAAGGTGTTTACTGAAGGTTTAGCTTGTGTTTTATCCAGGGAAATCTTGAGGTGTTTTTTTTTAGAATGTATGAATCTTTGTACATATGTATGTATTGTATTTATTTATTTGTATTTATTTATTTACTTACTTTCACAGTTACTCATTTAGAGCTTATATGTTGTTCCAATCAACAGAAAATCTGAGAAGATTCCAAAATCCTCTTCACTAAGAGGTTTAAAATAAAACAGAAGCAAAATGAAAGAAGCAAATAGTATTACAACAAACAGAGGAATAATCAAACACAAAACATATTGTTTGGATACTGGTTAGAGATCCTCTAATATACAGGTAGTTCACGACTTACAACACTTCATTTAATGACCGTTCAAAGTTACAACAGCACTGGAAAAAGTGACTTATGACTGTTTTTTACATTTACAATGGTTGCAGCGTCCCCACGGTCATGTGAACAAAATTCAGATGCTTGGCAACTGATTCATATTTATGACGGTTGCAGTGTCCCAAGTCACATGATCCCCTTTTGTGACTTTTTGACAAGTCAATGGGGAAGCCAGATTCGCTTAACAACCATGTGACTAACTTAATTGCTGCAATGATCCGCTTAACAACTATGGAAAGAAGGTAATAAAATGGGGCAAAGCTTACTTAAAACTGCCTCAGTTAGCAACAGAAATTTTGGACTCAATTGTTGTGGTAAGTCAAGGACTACTTGTATTGTATCTCCAGTCACAAGGATGCCATATCTGTAACCTTCCTATGAGAGTTAGTTTTGTTTACAGATGATCCAATTGATTATTACATATTAAATCTTTAAAAATTGTTCCACAATGTCTTTTCTAAAATGCATATCATGCTGTTTTAAAAAAACATATTAATAGTAACAAGATGAAGGGAGTCAGATTACGGGTACAGCACTGAAGAATAAATGAATTATCCCTGCATCTCTCCATCTGGTTTCATACAAAAGCAACCTGATTTCCTATTGTGTGACACTGGATTTTAAGCTGGAGGAAACCTTGATCTGATCTAATAGATGTCTTCTATTAAATGTGTGTTTGGTTGGTTTTGCGAGGAAGGATTCAGAGGGGAAAAGATTCCAGAAATGAGAGAGAGAGTGTGTTCAGAAAGGGGAAAGCAGAAAAAAAGTTTTGGTGAGACAGACAATTATTTCAAGGAATTGAACAGAAACAATGGAAGGAAAAACAGGTAACTTACATCAACAGTTTCAACAATTTCTGTCCATACTGCATGCGGAAATACTCGCTTAGATCCTCTTCGTCCATGGTAGTCATGATGGCTACCCACTTGCCAGGCACGTCCTGACTTGTCCAACCAGGCACCCTTTTCACCTCCTTATCTGAGCTTGGGAGTGAAGCAAACAGATTTGAAAAGCTGCCAGAATCTGATGCAGTTGGAGCCCTGGAACCTTCAGAAGATGATATGGAAGATGCAAATGGTTGCTTAGCAGCAGTAGGGATTGCTGCATTGGGAAAGATGAAAGCCCTTTGGGAAGTCATGATTCGCTCTGTAGAGGATAGAACTTAGTAAGACTCCCAAATTCAACTGCCCTGTTTTTCCCATTTGGTTTCAACTGGGACAACCAGAGATAGTACAAAATGTTGTGATTTAGTGGTTTGCTGCTTTAGAATTGCAAAAATAGAGGAAGGGCAGCTGCCATTTGTGCTAAATTAATGTCAAACTCCAAAGAATCATATTTATTTGTGTGTTTATACAGTATGTGCACATGTGTATATATGTAAAATCATTCTAGAATCCACAATCAGAAGGTTACAAAAATCTGCTTTGCCCTTTCTTTTTTAAATCAATAGCAATTTTCAAAGAAAATATAATTGAGGCAAACAGATCCAAGGCCAAACTAATTTTTTTCACCAAACTTATACTATATGTACTATTATCTCTTTCTTGCCACAGTGCATCATAAGAAAAATATATACAAAATGTCTGAGTGGGTAGTAGCAGCCTTCAGGCCAATCTAATAATTAGAAAACTCATCAATAAGTTTTCAAAATCTACAATTCTATTTATCTTAAAAGCAAGGTGATACAAAAAGGAAATTGGGCTGGACAGAGACAAAGGGAATTAAAGGAAGCTAGCTTTTTTCTTAATTAATGAAAATGGTTTGTACTTTGAGATAAGGTTCAAATGCCTGATAAATTACTCCAGGGTTTCTGTAGATAATCCCTGCCCGTTTAGCTTTTATGGATTTTTTCTTAGTTAAAAATTAAATCTCCATTTGCATGCACATGAGCATGTGCAACTTCATTTGTACAAGTAGTGGGTGCCCACTGCTTGCGCAAATGGAGCTTCATGTGCGAGTTTGAGCACCCGCCACCCATGCAAGTAGAGCTGCACGCATACTCGCACTTGCATAGCCCGGTTCCGAATGGATTGCATTGGGCCATAGCTCAGGAGTTGGGGACCCCTTTTTTAAAGGACACTAAGTTTGCAAACCTGAGTTTTTAATCAGTTTCAGAAATTGCTATGTAACTGCTTCTAAGCTATTAAAGAACTTCAGAGAGACAAATTTGAAAACACCGGGAAAATCTGCATTCAGTCCTGAATAAAAGAAAAATATTAATCATGAGCTTTAAAATGTAACAAATCTGAAATAAACAGCAAAAAAGAAAACTGAATAAGATTTCAGTCTTAGGAAGTTATAAACTAAGGATCCTGATAAAATTAGAATATTGAAACTTTTACAAAAATATTTTGGAATTAATTTTAAAGAACAAACAGCTTCTTATGGGAAATACTGTAGATCTAGTTTTGGGTTTTACAAGACATAACATAAAGAAGCAATTTTATGATTTCAAACACTATAACAGGACTAAAGATTTCAGGTAGAGGAAAGATATATAGACCTGTAAAATGTTGTAAAATGTTATAGAAAGGATACAAGACTTTTTAGGAATAGAATAAGAAAATAACAGCCACAATATCAACAATGTCATTTATGAGGTTTGCTTCTATGGATAGATTAAGTCCAAAAGATGTTATGAAGAAATGTTATTAAGCCAGATATACAAAAAATGTATCTGACAAGATAGAGATGATATTGAAAGGGGATTTACAACTGACTGTCTTAGAAAAGAATGTTTCTCTGGATCTATGAACAATGCTGGCTGAGGGTTTAAGATTCAAAGGGGGAACACAAATGGCAAACCAATAGAGTAAACTATATATATTTTTTCCTATTGGGTTTATAAAAGAGGCTTGTTAAAGCTTTGAAGAACTCTGTGTGACGTGACCAAGAAGAAATGAAGAGAAAACAAATCCTACAACAATATTTGAATGAACTAAAGATTAAGACTGTTAGAATTAAAAGAAATACCAGTAAATATAAAGTTGGTTTATTTGTTGAAGGTTGAAAGAAAATAAGTTGTTACTTCTGGCAACCTTTTATGGACTTTGTGCTGACACCAGAATTGAAAAGATGTCTTATAGATTTGTTTATAGATAAAAGATGGGACATGGGATGAAGAGAGAAATGTTGGTAACCTTAGAGGCAGTGAAGAGTCACTAAATTCATGTATACCTGTGATGGTCAGAAATAACTTCTTTATATATTTCTTTTCTCTTTCTGTATTATGTTCTTACTTTTCTCTTTTCTCTTATTCTTTGCACTTTTTAATCTTTTCTATTTTCTGTAAGTTTAGTTTGTGCTAGACTTAATTTATAATCAAATGTAGATACAGATAGATATAAATAAAAACCAAAGACAATGGGGGCTGTTACCAATTTCTGAAAGGTATCAGTGAGGGAATGGAATGGAAAAGGATAACACAGGGCAGAGGCCACCAACGCCATTAACTTGTCTGATCCTTCTTGTTGGGCGCTTTCAGAAAAAGGGATTGCATCCCAAATCAGAAGACATTGTGTTAACTACTCCATGTTTTAACTTTTTTTCTGAATATAAAAAATAACCTCTCCAAACTTATATTTAATAGTGAATTGATCAGTTTGACTGCAAATTTTACCTCCAGAAAAATTCTGTGAATGAAGTAATAAATGTCTCATTTGGAAGCATCCTTATTCTGGGCATAAAGCTATGTTTTGTGTAATTAATGGAAACAAATTTTAGACAGAATGAAGACAAAGCATATTTTTCTGACCGCTTTCAGAAAGAAGGCACAGCCTTTGGAGGAGTTGCATTTATCACTGCTGAATGCCAGGGTGCACTTGACAAACTTTCTTTATCTCATCCAAGGTTCCAGATGCGGCCATAAAATCTTGTGAAGCATTTCCCAGCCATGTGTTTTCTCTTGTGGGATCGTTCTGCAGGCCCTGATTTAATTATAGCTAGACTACAGGTAGGAAAGTAAGATTTTGTATTTGTATTTTTGTATTGCTGAAGGCTCAGCAATGTTAGCTTTGTAACAAAGCCATGTTTTCTGTTCTCATTTGTTTCCCCTGAGAGGGAAGTTAATCTGTTATGGTCAAACTAGATGTGCAGTTAGCCTTTCTATCTTTTTTTTTAAAAATACATTATAGATGTAACCATGCTGAATCTATCATATGAAGAACAGGGTTTTTAAATCTTTCTCCCAAAACTTGCCATTTGTTCTTGTCAGCCATTTGCTTACAATTTCACCGGCTGTGCTGCAAATGAGGGCAATGTTGCCTGCTCAGTACTCTTCTCTCCATTTTCAGTATTGTAAGAATCTCAGTTTCGGGGCGGGGGGGAGGGGAGAAGATAAAAACTCCAATTTTAACTGGATTTCTTGCAAAAATGAAATGGACAAAATGCTTCTTCTTTAGAATTATAATGACAAAACTACCCCCTGAATGACCTGTTTGTCCCCTTTGCCACTGTATTAGACTTGAATAATCTATTTCACATATATAATACATCTTAGTTATTTCATTTGTTAGATTTATACCCTGTCTTTCTTCCAGAATAACAGGTAATATGTCCAATAGAGGTACTGGACTGTCACTTAGAAGATTCAAGTCATCCCCAGCCATAGAAGTGAGTTTTGGCCAAATCACCCCCTTTCAGGATAATCTACCTGATTGCTGTGGAAAAATAAGAGGAAAAAAAATGACACCTTCTGTCTTAAGCTCTTGATTAAACAGCAGGATATAAATCTAACAAATCTGTGAATATTTCTTATTGATTGTTGTTATGATATTCTGAACAATGTCAACAAGTCAGCCAAAATTAAGGAGAAGATAAATAAAAGCGGCTAAAATATTAAAAATGAAGAGAAACTTATTTGACCTCCCTCTGAGCCACTAATGGAATCTGAAACTGCAAGTGCTGAAGAAACATGTTGCTTAGAGTGATTAAAATGAATAGATCGGACCTGTTCATCCACTGAAGCTGTTTTTTTCCATTCAGGGACTTAGTTTCTATTAATACCTTTAGAATCATCATTAATGCCTCAGAAAACACATTCTTCTGTTCTCCTTGACCTTCAGTTTGAAAGTGGATTCAGGTTTCATGTACCTAATTGTTGCCTAGGAATTGATTGCTAAAAGTATTTGGTTCTTTGTTAGTTGAGCGTTTATTTCTGAATGTCTTGCCCCTTTATCATGAAAAGATAAAAGGATGGTACACATGCTTGTTTATTAAAAATCTCAATCCCAATGCATTTTGCAAAAAAATAATTTCCATCTTTGTTGAAAGAATATTTATTTTATCAAATTTATATAGTCAGTCCTCTCAATTAAATAACTCCACAACAACTGGAATTTGGGATGTCACAAAATTGGAAAAAGCAGTGCAAATCAACCACTCCGATGTATGCAAGATGGCTCACGATGAAGCAGAGTGGAGCTTCATTAAAGAAGAGCTTTAAGTGGCAGATGTCTTTGGACTGAGAGTGGCTGAAGGTCAACTATGTAGATTTGCAGATGGTGGAGAATGTGGCAGCCAGATAGCTGAGCAGAGTTACGCTGTTGATAGAGCATATGACCATCAGCTACATAGCCAGCTTCAGGATTTTAATATTGACATATAAGGCCTTTATATGCTGTGGTGCTGTGGTGTCCAAGAAACCTGACAAGTTGCTTTCAGCATTATCAGCTATTATTGTGAGAGTTGGTGTTCCTGAGTATGCAGAGAATTGTAGATCATCCTGGTGATGGCATTTTCACTCTAGAATGCTGTCCTGACATTTGTATGGCACAAATTAAATCTTTTAGGCATCTGTTAAAAATCTCCCCTTTCCTTGTCTGAATGTTAAATGAATGGTTTTGGATTTTGTTCCCCTCTTTTCCTTCATTTTTATTGCTTCAGATTCAATGGTATGTAGGAAAGAAATTATGTTAGGAGCTCCAGGCGCTGTCTTCTGCCCTTCTGTCAGGATAATAAACCTTCTGAAAATCAAACACAACGGAGCAATTTTTTAGTAGCTGTGTGGAGGAGAATCCAGCAAAAGGAATATCAAGTTTAAAAGGGATAAGATTTGGCCAGAGTCTGCGAAGGAAAAAATTCTGCATGGCATCCCTATGGAACAAGAGCTGGGTAGCAATTCAAAATGCCACCATTCTTTCCTGGCCATGTGAC